TTTCCGTGGTCATGTGGCCGGCATGACTAAACACCAAGGCGCACGGAACGCTGTTCCCTTCCCACCGAAGTGGTACCTATTTATCTACTTGCAATGTCTTGCTTTCGAACTGCTAGGTGGGCAGGAGCTGGAACTAGAGACGGGAGCTCACTCCGTCATGCGGCACACTCGGGTCTTGAACTGCTGAACTACTGACCTTCCACAGCCTGCAGTTCAGCGTCTTAACCACTTGAGCCACCGCAGCTCCTATAAATACTAATAGTAATAATCATTAAATAGTCAACTCATATTCATAAGTAAATGGGTCTAAATACAAAATCCATCATTTCCTAAGCCAATACATTTCTGGTCAGTTGGAGGAACAGGCTTCTAAACTAGTGGTCCAACCCCTGGCTTGGGGCCTTCACATGAGTCGCAGGGCCCCACATGATGGGTCACAAGCTCCTCTAGAAGTGCCATTTTTTGTTGCTTTCGGGAAGGACTGGCTGCTAAGGGCCAGGCCTACAGAGCCAGGGCACCATGCCTCCCGTCCGTCTTTGCACACATGCTGGGACTGGAGCCGATGGATCGCCGTGCGAGGTCACTCAGTGGTGGGGAGGATTCCCTTTCCACATGGGCGTTGTTCAGAGACTCTGGGTCCTCCTCTTTCTGTCACATGACTCTGACGTCACATGCTTGCAGTTCAGGGGGACCCGGCGTCCATTATTTATTGATTCATTCTAAACATTTCTGTGCCACTTTACCGCCCAAACAGGGCCCCCGAGGTGGCCAAGAGTGAAAGGCGGGTCTTGAGACTGGAAAGGGCCTGGCTAACATAACCTGTTCTCCCTTAAATCTGGGGATTGTTCCCAATGCAAATCTTCCAGCAGTACACCTCTATCAACTCATAGCTCCAAATTTGCGTAGAGCCATCTCCTTGGCTAGATTTAATGTCCTTCCTTCAGCTATCTTATCTGGCGGATTCCAAGGGGGTTCCCAACCCTAGCAGGTGCTGTCCTTGTATGAAGGACTGTGTTGGGACCAGTGTTCCCTCTAAGCTGAGTTAGTGTGAGCTAGCTCACAGTTTTTTAGCCTCTGGCTCACACATATTTGTCTTGGCTCGGGAAGGAGGGCTCCAGAGCAAACTAATTTATGCAGTAGCCAAATTGCTCACTCACAACTTTTTTCTGCTTGTTCTTGAGTTCCATCAACACCTTGTTTCTTCTTACATTTGCATTACAAACAATTCTCTTTTTTTTTTTCACCCGTGCAGTTTTAAAAAATCCGGCGGCTGCGGCTTTGCAAAATCATGGCAGCCATGTTTGCTCCGTCGTCAGTCTCTGCTTCTGGGGCGTTTTCTGGACACCCCCCGCATTGCCGATTGCGGGGGGGGGGAAATAAAGCCCCTTGCTCCAGCAGTCCATTCCAGGTCCGCTGGTCGGGGTTCCCCGGCAACCGGAGCCCCTGAAAGAAGACTGACGCGTTCGGGCGGCTCAGCGTTCGCTAGAGCACGTCCGTCGTCGCGCCATACCGGAAGTGCTCTCCCAGTATCAAAAACATTTTGTAGAATAGGAAGTTCCGTTCAAGTGAGATGTGTTAGCAGGTTCCCAGCATTCTCTTTCTGTCACGGCATTCCCAGCATTCTTTTTCAGTATTCTCTTTCCAGGTGTATACATGCTGTCAAGTCACTTCCGACTTCTGGCAACCCTATGAATTAATGACCTCCAAAATATCCTACCATTAACAACCATTCTCAGCTCTTGCAAACTGAGGGCCGTTGTTTCCTTTATTAAGTCAATCCCTCTCCTGTTAGGTCTTTCTCTTTTCCTTCTGCCTTCAACTTTTCCTAGCATTATTGTCTTTTCTAGTGACTTTCAACCTTTCTTTCTTTCTCTCTCTCTCTCTGCCTTCCTTCCATTGTGCCTTCCTTCCTCTCTCTCTTCCTTCCTTCCTCCCCCTCCATCATCTATTTGCTTTCTTTGTTTATTTCTCTCTCTCCCTCTCCTTATTTTTTCCATGTATTTCATTCTTTTCACCTTTCTCTTTTTTTCTTCCTTCCTTCTGTCCTTCATCCCCCTCCCTCCCCATCTATTTGCTTTCTTTGTTACTCTCTCTCTTTCCCCCTTCCTTCCTCCCTTTCCCATCTATTTGCTTTCTTTGTTTCTCTCTCTTTCTCTCTTTCTTTCCACCTCTCTCTCTCTCTCTCTCTGACTTAGACAAATAAATATAATTAGCAAACAAATAAATATTGGACAAATAAATATCATTATCAATATCTGTTTTATCCTCGTTTTTGGCACTCATTTAATGTTAATAAAAAGAAAATTTGCATATTTCCCAATAAAAACATGTGTGTAATATTTGTTTATGTCTTGTGGCTCTCAAGTTAGACCACCCCTAGTCCAGGAGGATGCAAATAATAAATGGAAATAAATCTGAAGAAGTGAGCAGTGAGTCCAGTGTTCCCTCTAAGTTGTGGAGTCTTGTGAGCAAAAATTATGCTTTGTGAGCTACTGGCTTTATAGTTGTGAGTGAGCGATTTGGCTACTGCATAAATTAGTTTCCTCTGGAGCTGTCCTTCCTGAGCTAAGACAAAAATGTGTGAGCTGGAGGCTAAAAACTGTTAGCTAGCTCACACTAACTCAGCTTAGAGGGAACACTGGCAGTGACTCACAAAAGCACATACCCTACCACAATTTTGTTAGTCTTTAAAGGTGTTACTGGACTCTTACTCTTTCTACTGCTATTAGAAACCACAATATTCAAAAAACAGTAGGGAAACATTTTAACCTTCCAGAGCGTTCAGTTGCTGACCTAAGAGTAGCAGTACGCTTACAAAGGAAATTCAAAGAGAGATTAGAAAGAGATATACTGCTGAATTGCAACTGATCATGAAGCTCAAGACAATGCAAATTCCTGGACTGAACTGAGGCCTAGATTTCTTCTGTCATTACCAAGGCCTGCTATTGTCATTTGGCATCTGAAATCACTTCACTCTCCAAGATATAGGGACCTATGGACTCAAATTCCAGCTGTATCTGAAGTAAGGTTGCCAGACACCCCGATTTGGTGGGGGTTCTACCCGCCTGGCCAGCTGGGCGGCAGGGGAAGCCCCGCCCCCAAGCCCAGCACTGGCGGCCACCCCTCTCCCTTCTCTTTTGAGAGAGAGGAGGGAGAGGGGCGGCTGCAGACCACGCACTCGATCTCCGAGTGGCATTGTGGGGGCCTCCTTTAAGTGCTTGCAGCCATCCAGGCAGGGCCCTGCATTCCCAATCTCCGAGCAGCAATGCCGCTCGGAGATCAGGTGCCCTCCAGCTGCAGGCACTCCAAGGAACTCCTTTAAGTGTATGTAGCCAGTGAGACCATCCCCACAGGGGCAGGGCTTGGAACCAGGACATCCCCAACCTGACAGCATCACGTTGGGGATGCCCCGCCCCCTCTGGGAACACCCCCCCAAAAAAAAGTTCCCCACCGGGGACAAAGATGGACTTGGCAACCCTAATCTGAAGAAGTGAGCAGTGACTCATGAAAGCTCATGCCCTGCCACAAATTTTATTAGTCATTAAGGTGCTGCTGGATTCTTACTCCCTTTCACTAATAAAGAATGCATGCTGTGCTGTTAGGTTTCTCCCCCCCCTTTGTTAGAAATGGAAAGGGGGTTCTCTCCAAGTGCCATGGGGTTCTCTCTCTTGTTCTCTCCCTGGCGTGCTCTCTGTGGCTCTT